GCCCCCCCCCCCCCCGTCTGGCACTCCTCCAGCTCCTCGCGGGAATGTCACCGGGACCGTTTTCACTTTGTCCTGACCCTGCCCATTTTATGGCTCAAAATGTAAGGGGGGGGGCACTTTGCTGAGAACATGGAGACGCCCTGAAGAGCAGTTCAGGAAAGGGACGAGGAGGCCGAAGAGGCCCGGGGACGGAAACTGACTTGTGGGAGGCAAGGCTGGCCGTTTCCCGGTTCTGCTCCCCCAAGACTACCACGAGGTCCAGGACCCACCCCGGCACCATGGGCTGGTGAGGGTCTGCACATGAGACCCCACTTCCTCCTCGTCAGACGCGAGCAAGCAAGTGAGCACCTCAGGGAGGGCAAGACTGTCCTTCACACGCCGAGTGCTAACGTCAGACCGCGCACACACCCGCCCAAACGGGGGGTTCTGCAATACGACGTTGGTGCCGAGAGGAATTATGCACTCATAGCTACTCACGTATTCCCATAAGGTGAAATTGGGACAAGTGGAAACAGGGCCTTATTTCGAACCTAATATATCTTTGGATGGTCTTTAAAAATACCTTACACCCTTTTAAAATTTCCTCCTCAATCCTGAACATTTCTTTCAACAAACAGAGTCTTAAAATCTCAGGTCAAAAGCTGTGAGCACTGATTGATTTGCAAGAGAAGCATTGTAAGAAAGAGACAGGGAAAACTCCCAGGCGGTGTGAGTCAGGAATGGAGGGCGGGAAGACAGCGCGGGGAACCGAGGGTGCAGGACGACCTGGCCTGCGCCTCTGGACAGCCCTGGACTGTGAGGACCGAGCGAGGCGAGTCTCATGGGAAGACGGCCGTTCACACACAAGGAGCATGGAGAGTCACTACGAGAGCCAGGCCCCGTGCCCGCCTCACACACACGGAGTGTAGCCATGCTGCGTGCGGGGCGTGGGCCGAGGACAGACAGCGCTGTCAGGCGGGTGCCACAGGCCACGTCTGGAGAGTGGCAGCCCTCTTACCTCTGGCCAGCGTCGGCATCTGGAAAGCGATGCTGATGACGCCCACTAGATCTCCCAGTGGGATCAGGGATCTCAAAATGGACCTGATTCTGATGGCCTCTCCCTTCCCAGCGTGGATCAGCTACGCGGGAAAACAGAGGGGTGTTAGAACTTCGTGAGGACGTGTGAGAGCCCTCCCAAGAGAACCGAAGCATGGAGCCACATCCAGACGCGGTTCTGTCAGCACACGTGAGGCCCTAGAACCCATGGTTGGCCCCTTTTTTAATTCACTTGGTTCCCTCCGTCAATTTAACAGCGTAAGCACTCCCGTTTACTGCGGGCTTCGTCCCTCTGTCCCTCCGGTCTTCGCAGAGATGCGAGGAGCAGCAAGCGCCGAGTCCTGTTTGCAGTCACCTCCGGCCCCCAGCTTGGGGACCCTGCTCCCATGTGCTGGCATGAGCACTCTCACTAGCAGAAGTTACACTGGGGACAGGCAGGTAGCATGGTGGCTAAAGCACTAGACTCCCACTCAGCCAACCGTGAATCACGTCCCAGGCCTCGTGGCTTGCTTTCTCACTCCCAGCCCCACTCTGGTCAAATTTTAAAATAATAATTCTTTTAAAAAAACTTTGTTTTACAACAATCAGACTCCAGGCCTGAGACACTGGACCTTCCTGACCTGCAAGGCCTTTGTCTTCACAGAATGAGCAAAGCAAGTCGCGTACTGAGCACGCGAAGGGGACAATCCCAGAGCAGGGGGGACGCGGGGCTGGGAGCAGGCCCGGGCTTGCCTTCACCCGTCTGGGCGCAGCTCCTTAGTCTCAGTGCCCAGCCCCGGGTGTGTGTGCCAGGTCGGAGGTGTTTCCTGTCAGCGGCTATCTGAGGCCTGGGCTAGTAATTTCCACATGAATGTGCAAATAAAGCAGATTCGAACGGAATAAAACAGGTGGAAAATATCAGACAATAGCCTATAGTTATAGCATCACTCCACGGAACTATAATTTCATCTTCGTCAAAACATTGTGGGAACGTCATGTGCAGGCCTGCCAGTCCCGGTCCACACCCTCCTGGCACGGCTGGCAGACAGGCTCCCGAGGGGCGTTTCTGCGCCCGCGTGACAGGAGGGAACGGGACACGGCCCTCCTCCTCCCAGGCGGGCTCCGCGTGCTCAGGGACGAGGGCGCCCGGTGCCATCAGCGACTGCGGGGTCTTATCACTGCTGTGACCCAGGTGGCAGCCGCACTCAGGCCCTCGTCTGCAGGCGGGCCGCAGAAGCTCCCGCGGGGGTCAGGGGCCCC